GCTTTCCAACATAGGAAAAGAGAGACTGGAGATGCTAACCAAACTCAACATGAGTTTACCATAAACAAGTCAAACTATTCATTCAGTAATCCATTTATTTTATCTATTTCCCTTGTACATAGTATGTATAGAATGATGGATGTACATTAAAAAGGTTCGATTGTCCTTACTTTTGCTGTACCAGGCACACCATCAGACGCTTTGCGTTTTAGATATAAAGTATTTACAGTCTTCTTTTTGTCTTTCTTTTGTCTGCTTTTCAAGAGATGTTTAGGAACATGTGAATGTTTTAATAGTTTATAAAAATCCCTATATCCTACTGGACGGTGGCTTTTAACACCTGCTTTCATGATGACAAAGCGGATCAAGTCTACTATGTTCGAACCATGCAACACCTCACCATAAGGTAACACAAGTTGTAAATCTTCTGTCAGTCCTATTTGTCTGTTTAGAATGTTTTCTTTCACAAATATCCACAAAGCCATTAACTTGCCAATGGTTTTTGTAGACGAAATACCACTTATGATCTGCTCAGGTACACGAAGCATGATGTCCATGTTATGCTTCACAACAGATGCAGGTGCTTCATCATGACTGTTACTAGATCCATTATTATTATTCATAATCTTCAGATCTTGTTTCGTTGTCAGATGATCCTGATTCAGTGTCTGATTCACTGTCTGAGGAGGAATCTGTTCTTCTTGATTGTTCATTAACCTCTGGTGGGTCTCTCTTGTCAGAAGAACCATAGGCTTGCTCATAGTGAATCGATGAAAGGTATGCTTGATAGGATCTTATGCAAATGGGTAGAACCGAATGATGTGTCAGAATCAGCTCACGTTTCTCGCGGATGTTAACTGTCTTGCTGGCTAAAGATCGAATGCACTTCTTGTAGCGTGTCAGTCGTATTTTATCACTGTCTGGTAAGGGAATGATTCCTCTCAGTATGTTAAATATAAGAGTAATCACCAACATAAGCTGTTCACGTGACGCATGTATTAACAAATCCTTTCTTTGTCCAACACCGGCTTGCTTCAAAATCAGAAGAAAATTCAAATGTTTTTCTAGTAGTTCAGTCATGATGTGATGTTTAATGTTCGATGTGCCACTTTCGAATGTACAAGTATATGATATAGACAACAGGGTTTTATTGCATCCGAACAATAAAAAACAACAAAAACCAAAAACAAACAAACACTTTCTAACCTTTCTTGGTGTTCTTGGGTTCAGACACCATGTGCATATAGCTACAGTGAGGAGACAGTCTGAAGTGTTCGGACATGGGATCATCGTCAAGTATTCATCAGGTATCCATCGAAACACGTGTGAGAGAGTTTACTACTTACGACACACTGAGAGAGAGGGAGAGAGAGAGAGAGAGAGAGAGAGAGAGAGAGAGAGAAAGAGAGAGAGAGAGAGAGTGAGAGAGAGAGAGAGAGAGAGAGAGAGAGAGAGAGAGAGAGTTAGAGAGAGAGAGAGAGAGAGTGCCGCTATTCATAGAAGAGAGAGAGATGTTCAGTCATACATCAGTTCTGGTGTAATGCAAACTTGTGGTGTAATGCAAAAAAATGAAGCTCCACCAAAAATTGCTCGACATACAACCGTGTACACATTTTACAACCGCTTCTCCTGGTTGGATCAAACGGAATGTCTGTAATGAGTTTATTGATTTTCCCTGTAGCCTTTAGAGACAGGGAATCACGTGTAAGGGTGTCGGTGAAGGATGACAGCTTGGCTGACAACATGAAAGGTGTCTTCATTTTGAAGTGCACGAACAGCAGATAGAATGAGTCGTTTCCTTAAAACGACAATCTGTCACGAAACAGGTCTTGATGACAAAACACATCTTACTCAAAGTTATTAACTTGACCAGAAAGTGAGCGCAGTACAAGGAGCAATAGGTTTGCCATAGGTTGCTCACGAATGACGAACGAGATGCACACCCGTATTCAACCCGAGTCTCACAGGATCGGTGGTCGAGTTCCACACGAGTGACCAACGTGACGGACACGGGTGGGGTCATGGGTTGCCCATGGGTAGCGGAATGAACTCCTGAGCAGTCGTATATATCCGTTAATATGGAACAAGAGAACGGAATGATGTAGATCCCTGGGTCACGGACATAATTTTGCCAAATACCCAATCGTTACCAGGGCGATTTGAACCAACAAACATAAGATCCTCGCATGCACATAGGGCGTACCTCTTAACAGCAAAATGCGGTGTCTCTGAAGAATAATTCCACCACTGAATATGATACTTTCCACATATTATAAAGGCTGACTGACTGAGTTTGGTTTTACGCCGCTTTTAGCAATATTCCAGCAACATCACGGCGGGGAACACCAGAAATGGGCTTCACACATTGTGCCCATGTGGGCCCGGGTCGAACCCGGGTCTTCGGCGTGACGAGCTAACGCTTTAACCATTAGGCTACCCCACCGCCCCTATTAAGGATTGTGAATGGCGGGTTATATCTGTATTAGGACAGCCTGATACGGACGTTCGAGACTGAATACTCGTTGGCGTTGACATTTTGAAATCATCATGTTAGGACGCATAAACGTGATCGGGGCGATGGGGTAGCCTAGCTTGCCACGGCGAACAACCGAGTTCGATTCCCTCCGTGGGTACAGTGTGCGAAGGTCATTCTGGTGTTCCCCGCCATGATATTGCTGTATATTGCTTAACGATGCGAAGAACCTTACCTACTCACTTAAAAATGATCATTGTGCACCAACTATTGTGTAATATAATAATAATGTCCATTTATATGGCGCCAAACTCCACTGGGGTGTGCTCATAGCGCATACAAGAGTCAAGGAAAAGAAGTAAAAACTAGTAGCAGTACAAGGTCACTTTAAAAGTACAAATGGAACAGATGAGTCTTTAGGAGACACTTAAATTGTTCCAACGACTGGGCGTCTTTGAGAAAATCTGGCAGTGAGTTCCATTTAGTGGCAGCTGCAACACTAAAGGACTTGTAACCAAAGGACATTTTCTTCCATGATGGCACTATGAGTCTCTGTTGATTCTCAGACCTGAGGGAACGTGGTGGAATGTACATACATACAATGTCACACAGGTATGATGGGGCTAGATTGTGAACGCACTGATATGCCAGGATGATGATTTTAAAGTCCACTCTCGCCGCTACTGGGAGCCAATGTAACGCCTTAAGCACTGGTGTTATGTGCATTCTTGAGGGAGATCTGGTGACTATCCTCGCCGCTTTATTTTGCACTTTTTGAAGTGTACCAATATTTAATAATTCTGTAATTGTTATGATATGTGTAAGCGGCCTTACAAAACACTAACTTTTAAGAAATGTCCTTCCTTTGGTCAACATGGTAAAGACTTGCCCAGAACGTCCGGATTCAAAGTCATCTTCAGCAATTGATTCCGACTGACCTGCTCGCGTGGTCAGATTCGTTTACACTTGGTGTATGTCATCGTGTCCCAATACATCTATGCTCATGATATCAATCTCTGGATTTTCAGGTCGATACTCGATCATATCATACCGCGGTCATATCTCTACAACACTGCCGAATGAGGTGTTAAAACAAAAATACAAACAAACGAAATTAATAAGGGAAACAAGATACAAAATCAATAGCGACAGTTCAAAAGATTCTGTTGATACTGTATTCTGGTTTCTGGTAATCTGATATCGACAAGCTTCGTGTTGTTTGATCAAAGAACAGTTAGCCATACATCTTGCTGAGAGACCAGACAAATCGTGTTCTTAATGAATGCATAAGCGACAGTACCGATATATAGCACGCCAGGCTGCCAGGTGTTCTGCGATCGATAATGTCTTGAAGACAAGTCTTTCAACAAATTGTTATAAGGCTCTATCACTAATCTGCCCCACTTTCATTTACCGTAATGTACATGGTATTCGTATATATATGTTGCTGTGTCACCATGGTTCGTTGTCACATGAAAACAATGCATTAAAAGAATAGACGTTGATTATCATTTTCATTGATGCATGTGTGATTGATTTGTATTAACAGAGAAACAAATACAATGACGGGCTTAATTTGCACCTTGTTATTGGTCCATATACGATAGAGGTACGATTGTCGTTACTTTCAAAGTCCAACAAAGATTTTCGCGTTCTATAGTAGAACTGGAACCAGTTCTTTCGTGGCGTTATTTCAGCGTAGATGACGCTGTTAACGAATATCGAAGGATATCTAACGTCATGGAATCGGTAAATTTCGTACCACAGAACTTGATCCAGCGAGCTTGAGGTGCCGGGATCGAGCCCAACTGTGACCTGGTGTAAAACCTCTGGAGTCAACTTTGTGTGCAGACTCTTTCAGTGTTGTCACAACCCCTAGTGTACAGTACACAACCTTGTGCACTTAAAAGAACCCACGTCGAAGATGACCAGATGGTGGCCACATGAATACGTGCAAACACCTAGTTGCGGGTACAGCAACGTGCGCAAACTACTGTGACTATGTGTCCCAGTCCACCCAGCTGTGAATGGGTACCTTGTAAGGATGGGAAAGTCCCATTGACTTGGTGCGCCTATTAGCTGCAAGAGTTGTTAACTCCCCAGTTGTTGTTGTATACTCCCCAGGGAGTTGGGATTGATAATGCGATGTGCTGTTGACATTGACATCTAATGATCAAAGGAAAAACCAGCGCCTTGAGCATGTACTAGTTGCGTGGATGTGTGCGCTATATAAATATCCTATAATAAATAAATAAATTTACGAACCAATGCTGGTCATACATATGGAAAAGTAAACCGTCAATGCCAGTGAATAACTAAGCCTGTCAATCCGTGAAAGAAAACATAGTAGCTAACTGTATTTAAATAGATGTGCGAAAAACATTGACACCAGGTGGTGGGTTTAAAGCCGGTGTACAGAGGTGATGCTCAAAGGTGCTAATGAAACGGTGTGCTTTCCTTCCACATTCAGACAAAACAGTTTCATACACCTGTATATACACACCGCCAACGTTTCCAAGCGCGTCCCGCCAGGTCGTTTACGGTAACGACAGTCGCAGGTGCTCGGTGACGGCCTGACAGCATCACCTACCAACAGTCTGTAGCCAGCGCAGACAGCGACACTTCGCCTCAGCGACACCACCATTCTTGACTGACAAGCCACGGCCATTTTGAAGCACATCCTTCGTGGAAATTGGTTCAGCTGTAGATGTGACAATAGTTGACGGAGGTTAAATGGGGGCCCATGGATTTCGGGGAGAGTGATATCAGCCGCCCGTCAGGTGAGTTGGTGGATAGATCGATATCCTGATATCGATGTCCTGATCACACGAGTTGAGCTGATCAGTGTATGTTGTGAGCAGACCTAATGTTGCGATAACCATAGCTCGTTCGCTGATCAACAACCATTAACTATTTATTGTATCTAATGGTTGACTGACATCCAACTGGAAATACCAAGCTTGACTTCACATCCCTAATGTCCTCAAAAACTGGTTTAACAACTGAAGTCACTTGAGAAGTATGTCATGTACACAATGTAAGATACATCTACATGACGCGTGCCCGACACTGACCAATGTTCCATACCATCTTCATCTGCTTCCAAATAAGGCAATGACTTCAACAAGTGCCATCCTGATGTTTGCATCGCTATAATGAAGACGGGGAATTTGTCTGCCGACAATGCTCGTATATTGAATTCAGACATTTCTCTGTTACTGACGATGTTATCTCAATGTTTTGTCAATATTGGACATGTTCCTAGGATATCACAGAAAGTCCATTGTAGGGTTCACCGATCTAAGTCGGTGACATTGTGCACATAAGGTCTACCATTCGTTCGGTTACATAAAGTCTACGGAAGGCCTGTGTTTCATTAAGTGACACAGAGTGTTTAAGCTTTATGTTTCGTTTAGCTGTATAGTGTATGAGAGGTCTGTCAGTGATGAAATTACGTTTTGAATATGTAAGGTGGAAAATTCAAGTGATATATAGGTTACGAAAGATTTGCAATACTTAAAGTGACATATAGTTAATGAAAGGTCTATCAATCATTAAAAGACAGATAGTGTGTATAAAGTCTATCATTCATTAAAGGGCGATACAAAGTTTATGAAATGTCTGTCATTCATTTAACTTGCACATCGTGTTTGAAAGGTCTTTTTTTGATGAACTTTCATATAGTGCACATCGTATGTCTGATGTTTTAGATCTGTGAAGATCCGGGTTAGAATTGATCTTCAGTTACCCATGTTTGATGTAAGAGGCGATTAACGGGATCGGGCTGTCAGGCTTGCTGACTTGGTTGACACATGTCATCGGTTCCCAATTGCGTAGATCGATGCTCATGATGTTGATCACCGAATTGTCTGGTCCAGAATCGATTATTTACAGGCCGCTAAGTACACTTAAGTACACTTCGTATATGTCATGTCTATTCATTAAAGCGGCATATAGACATGACGGTGTTTCACTCTCTGATATGTAAAAAAAATAGTTGAGCAATATCTATCAAGGTGGCATATGTATAGTTTATGAAAGGTCATAGCTTTGACATAAGTGACATAGAATGTATGTTGCGACACACGAATGTACGGGTATTTGGTTGCGCATCAAAATCCCTCCTCTGGATTTTTGTACACTAAATTGTATCCTGTTCCGGACGTTTAGAGATATTGTCGATTCCAAAGTTTTATGTTTTGATGTAACTCTTTCTGAAAAGTGATTTAGTTTGAAATGGAACATTAAAACATATCATTAGAATTGTTACTAGCCAAAGAGATCAGAAACAAGATATGTTGTTGTGCTTCTTCTAGTAATTAATTAGGTAAATGCATGATCGGATTAATAATGGCAACGCGTTGTGCAGAGTTGCACTTGCAAAGGTCCGGCTTAGAATGGTCATCAGCAATCAATACTTGCTGTAACTAACGGGATCAGATGGTCAGGCTCGCTGATTTGGTTGATGCATTGTATCGTTTTTCAATTGCTCCTGCTGTTGATCACTGGATTGTCTGGTCCAGACGAGAGTGCGGCGTGAAACAACCAACAAAAATCATGCGCACAATTGCGCCCCTTAGTCTTGTCGGATCTGGTGATCGCTGATTCAGAACGCCCTGGGATCACCCTGGTCACCTTGATTGTGGCATGTGTAAACGTTTCAAATATATTTGAATTTTGCATGACATATTTGCCATGAGCGTAATAATAACAGTAAATGTATAATCTTTGAGTCTCTCATTCAACTTGGAGGAGGAGGAGGAAGAAGAAGAGGAGTGAAATTAGCATTGGCCCTAGCATTAGCATTAGCCTTGGCATTACCAATGGCTATAGCTCTAAACATGGCTCGCAGGTAACTTAAGTGAACATAAAGTGAATATATATGGTAACTAAGAGTTAACTCCCTTTACAGGTAAGGAAAATGACGGCGACAGTGACCTTCCCCTTGTCCACCAGGCGGCAGCACAGGGTGACATTGACCTTCTCGTCGAGGTGGTGCAGCAGGACCCCAGTATGCTGGAGCTCCAGGATGCAGAAGGTAAACCATGTTGTTGAAGATGCAGACAGTGTCGTCACATATTGATCATGTTGTTGGTGATGCCAGTAGGGTGTTTGGCATCCAGTGACCGTTCCTCTTAGTTAGGTCCTCTTTCATATGATAATCTGTAGAGCTTTGACAACTCTGTGCACACATCTGGTCGACATCGACTCATGTCGAGGATACAGCCCGCTCGATCCTTCCTTTTGTCGACTATTACGTCATGGGATAACAGGGACCTCTTTGACCAAAGAATCACCAAAGAGGGTTCGTTACTGTAACTCTTAGGTGTTTTCATTTCTAATATATACATGACTGCTCTTGTAAAACCATATCTTCAGAAGGCTCGGTTATAGCTTGACAGTAAACTTGTGTCCAGGAGACACCGTTGATTTTACGATGTAAAATTCTGAAAAGAGTGAAATAATCTAATTCACGTCTGTTTTCAACATATAGTTTTCTAAAAGCCGTGCAGATGTAGGTGATTTCAATAATGAAATATATCTGTTTTCAACACATATTTTTTCTAAAAGCAGTTTTATCTCTAAACAGGCTTCACGCCCCTCACACACGCAGTACAGAGCAAACAACTTCGAGGGGTCAAGCGGCTCATTAAGATGGGAGCCAACATCAACGCACAGGACAACCTTGGACGGACATGTCTGTCCATAGCTGCGTATCAGGTAACTGAGCAAGTAGTGAGAGTGTCACCCGTGAAGATCCGTGTTAGAATTGATCTTCAGCAACCCATGCGTGTCGCAAGAGGCGACTAACGGGATCGGGTGGTCAGACTCGCTGACTTGGTTAACACATGTCATCGTATCCCAACTGCGTAGATAAATGCTTATGATCAATGGATTGGGATACAATGACATGTGTCAATCAAATCAGTGAGCCTGACCACCCGATCCCGTTAGTCGCCTCTTACGACAAGCATCAGATAATGGAGGTCAATTCTAACCCGGATCTTCACGGGTCACACAAAACTAGGAGAAACAGAGAGTTAGTCATATAAGAAACGATGTTCACACATTGCACCTTGTGTGGGAATTGAACCCGAGCATTCGGCGTGACGAGCGGACGCTTCACCACTGGGCTACTCCGTCACCCCTTGAGAAACACGAACTGAAAGAACGAAATAGATGACTGGAAATTAAGTAAACATCTCACAGAGAAAACTAGTGCTTCGCCGTCTGTGAGGGGACATGCTTGAATTGGTTTCAATGGTAGGGTGGCATGAGAAGATCTGAATGTCTTCAGAGAAAGAAACAGAGACATGCTGTCAACTTCACAAACTGGTGTAAAGGCCCAAACAATTACAACAGCTTTTACTGCATGAGGCTAATGAGTCTAATCAATGTGGGCATCATTTGACCTAAGTGAGTGAGTGTGGTTTTTCGCCGATTTTAGCAACATTCCAGCAATATCACGGCGGAGGCCGCACATTCTACCCATATGGAGAATCGAACCCGGGTCTTCGGCGTGACGAGCTTTCATCATTAGGCTAGCCCACTGCACCCTTAAGTGAGAGACTTGATGGAGGCACCAATGCGTAAATAAGTGACATTTATCATTTCCTTTATCATGAGAATTACTTAAAGCAGAGTCTATTATGCGATGATCATAATGACTATATCAATATCAAGTTATTATCAGTGGAGACTATTACGGTACGCAATAACACATGACATAATGGGAGCAGACAAGCAAGGTGAATCTGGGAAGCTGACAAGCTGGATGGACCTGGTGTGTTAGTGTGTGAGTGGGTGAATGGGAGAATGAGTGGACAGGTGAATAGATGGGTTGGTTGGTGGGCGGGTTTGGGAGTTGTATTCATAACCACTTTAAACAGTTTTTAAATTTATCCTGAAATGCCTGCTAGAAAGGAGGAAAGATAAAGATGACGCAATTTAGTGAACTCACAAACACTTTAAAGGGCGTAACAAACCATAGCACATAGTCGGAGCCAATGTTACACATGACTTATCTTCAGGATAACATCCACCACACAAAATGACTGTATTACCCAAATTTACTAACGTCAGCAAATACTCGTTTCATCCGGCGGCCATATGAACAACGTTTGAAATCTACGTATCATCTGGCCGTCAGATTTACACACGTTTAAAGGGGTGTTAAAATAAACGAACAGTCGGCTCTGCATTTACATGTATTTCACAGGTGTGTAAATCTGGCCATTGTTTCCATGTGTTTCCTAACATGTGTAACAGATGTAAATGCTGTGATTGTAGGACATGCATTTCAATACCCTTGAAATCTCGTATGACCAGGGTTAGGTTTGTCATATATTTTGTACATGCGTAAATGGTTGGAAATGAGTAAGTATAGTGTTACAAGATTAGCACTACTTTAACATGTATTTCAATGGTGCTGTAATGTAACTGTCACATAGGGTTCGTTAGCGCGTCCGACCACGCCATAATGTACTGAGATAATTAGAAACACATGGTGAAGTGATACCCATGACTGAGCACCACTAATAACGTGCGTGTCTTTCTTGACATACACATGGTGTCTGTTTAAAAGGTTCAAATATCGGGTCTATGGGCCAGAGCGATATGTATGTTAGGGAGTGTGTGTGTGTGCGAGGGAGAGGGTGTGGGAGTGGTCGGTGTTGGGGTACTGATAAGTCTTTCTGACCAATAGGTAATATCATTTATACATTTTGTAATGGTATTTACATAACAGTTTAAATATCTGACCTTAGGTACACTTCTTATATATGCTATACAAGGAGACACTGCTAATTACAATAAAACACAGACGAATGTGTTCACACAGACATGAACCGGTAGGTCCCTAATTTTAGTGCTCACTTGTATGAGTTATCCGACTGATCATAACTGAACAAATTTCATTATCTATACTTTCATAAAAGATGATTACAATGTATTAATGATTCCCGGTGTAAATTAATGTTGTAAATGTGTGAACATGCACATATTTGGTATGACCTCTTTTTGATTCGGAATACAGGTATTATTCCATACGGACGTTTTCTGAAATTTCAGTTACCCGACGGAATATACTGTAGACATATTTTGTTTCCACCTCTTGGGTAGACTATAGGAAATTGTAGTGATTGCAATTAGCTCATAACTAAGCAGTTTCGATAATTGTTGAAAGCTTACTACCTGACAGCATTATGTTGCTCATGCGTTTTCTTTTTTGCTTTTGCTTTTTGCTGTCTAATTTGTTATACATTATATAATTATGTTAATCATTTTGGTATCTCAATATCATGGAATATAATATGTACTTATTAATCTATCAAAGTACCGAAACGTATTATCTGTATGCTTTACTGTTATTGGGTGAAACTGTTAAAAGTACCTTCGTACAGAATTTCGTGGAAAGAGAAACAGAATCAGTGGAAAACTAAATTGGATAAAGATCGCAAACAATCATTATTTATATTCCACTTTTTAAATTATCAGTGTGCAGATCATGTCACTAACATACAAACTGAAGGATATATGGTGACAAAGCTGGGTTCAATCTTGAATGTATAATAAATGTACCAACAGTATCAAGGAATGATGGGGTACGCTCGTGGCTAAAGCGTTCGCCCGTCAGGTCAAAAACCGGAGTTTGATTCCCGACAAAGGCACATTAAGACTGGAAATATATTATTTTGATAAAAGGCAAAGATCTTAATTTCAATTGAAAAAAAGAGACGAAGTAATTTGGAAGATTCACAGACTAACAACATCTATATTGGGGCTACAGGTGCAGGAAGCATCTTCAATTATAAAATCACATTCCACAAATATCAGATAAAGGTTTAAATGACAAGCATATTTATTGGTATCTTGCCAAGCTCTGTCCTCTCTCAATGCAGTATAACCAGAGTGCTGTGGTCACTACCCCCGGTGGCCAAATTCAGCAATCCCATTACTTTACAGTATTTTCTTACAGGCATATATATGGAAAGTTAACTTTTACGGGTATGGAAAGAGTGGGGGGGAAACACGTGCAAAGTATTAGTACGCTGATATTATCCTTCAAAAACATCATATGTACAACAATCACTTATCATTATGGCATTACAAAAAAGGCCATATTTCCAGACAGCATAACATCACCTTTGGCTGGAGTTCCAAATAATTTGACACCGAAAGCCTGTCAGTTAACGCAAAGGAAATAACCCTTGTGTTTTAAAGTGATAGTCACAATGAAGTGTAGGTTGCCATGCATTTTATATTCTGTCTCACAGTCCCTGAACCACATTATTTTCCTTACTGTTTAGTCTGTCTCACAGTCCCTGAACCACATTATTTCCCCTACTGCCAAGCCCTCTGTGCAATGCTAAAGCCTTAAATGAAGCAAGTCTAGATCTCCTCAGGTCCAGGGTCTGTTAACATCTGCAAGAACCCTAACTCACTTTGGGGGTCGGGTTACAAAGTAAACATATCTATAGCTAACTGCCATGGCTCGCCGGACTGAATCTCGTGTCTCCCTGGGGCTCAATTTAAATGGGCTTGTTTGTTTCTATCAAAATTATATATATTCAGACACTAAGCGTTAGTCTATGTATTTTCCGATATGATGGAAATACTAATATTGACCAGATAAAATTCTAAAGGAGCCTTTCTTCAAGCAGTGACTTAACGCCATACATAGCTAGAATTGCTTAGATGATAGACTTCATATAAGGCATCACAGATATTTCACAAACATGGTACAGGACCCTTAGCCTCATTAGCCTATTGCCTCACCACTTGCGAATTAAGCGTTGGCAGATGTAAATGTTACTGGAGATGTTGGTCCCGCCAGCTGTGGGTGTTTGGTATGGCTCTCCATAACCCGAACCCTGCAGTGAGTTTTCCTAGAGACGGAAAGGGAGAAAATATCGTTCTGTGACTATGGAAAACCAAAAATGTGGACAACACACCATTGTTTGGGTCTTTTAATTGTAAATATGATTCAAATAGCTTAACCTAGATTTCGATATCCTCCGAATGCACATTTGGTTGAAAATATACATTTATCCCGAGCCAAGGACGAATGTTTATATATAATTAAAAAATGTAACAGCACTAGTATCCATTTTGTCTTTTGTCTTCTACCCGTCAGAACTAGATTAACAACTAGTCTCTGATATGAACATATTTTACAGAAAAAAAATTGATAGTAAAAAAAGAATATTATATAAGGAAAAGGAGCCCTGAGACTTTCTCCTGAAGCTGTGGAAATCTAGACTTGCCACATTTTGTAGACTTGCGTGGGCTTGGATATATTTGCTTCAGGGTCTGTATGACAGACGACGTCCCAACACACGCTCAATCACATGTGTCTCCAGGTCACGGAGAATCAGTGGTTAGAGGCCCGTATTGCAATTCTCGTGCGTTTGCCAGGCACGTAGCAAGCCAATTTTTTCGTGTAAGCCCCATGGGCTGCAAAGCCTTATATTTAGGTGGTATTGAGGGCTTGCCCAACTTTCATTTTTTATGAGACCTGAAGAGTTATCGTTTGACGTTTGATGATTTCAATAGCTTCAAAATATTGTGGAAAGACTATTGTGCCTGTATCCCCCCTTAAATTTCATTCTAGTCAAATCATATCACCTGAATATATATTCCTCATCCGATAAGGATGAGTTTTAACGTGTTTTGTTTATTTAATCTGAACATACTGATAGACATATAAATGCCACTCAAAG